AAAAATTATATTTCTAGCATTTGTAGTTAATAAGTTACAAGCTTTTAAAACTAAAAATAAGTTATTGCATTTCTTTTATCAACTACTATATTTAAGCCATTCACGTGATCAAAAAAAGAAATATATTATATAATTTTGCTTAATTCAGTTAATGCGAATATCCTAGACAGTCATCAAAAAGATGATAAGACTTATAACTGTTTGAGGTGCAGGATCATCAAAATATATCTCATCATCCTCAAGAGCCTCTATAAATATTTTATCAAAATCATCATTTTCTTTAAGCTTAGTTGGTATTTTTTCCTTTAACTTCGTTAATCAAACTATTTCTTTATACTGAAGCCTTCATGAAGTTCATAATCATACTCATTATTGAAATCAAAGTTATTAGATTTGAAATATATATTAAAATCAGATTTATTGGCATTAGAGTCAGATTTATTATCTGACTTAAAATAATCTATATCATCTAATGTGTCTCTAAAATTATTACCTAAGTTAGAGTCATGAGCTAAAATAGTAGCCACAGACTTAGATTTTATTTATATAACTTCAAATTGACTTATTCTATAATATAATTGATTTGAGGATTAGTGAGCCTTGAAATTTTATTAGCATTATAGGATCATATTTATACTCAAATAACCTATTGATTTTCTTGCTTTATAGGTTATTACTTGTAAATATTCAATTAAAACATCTGCGAGATATGGCTTTATTTTATTATAGATCTACTTTCTTGTAATCTGATCTGTAACTTTCTTATCATTAGACCTAAGCTTCACAACTTTATCTTTAAACCTTTCAGAGAATAAATATTATAATATAATCTCTGATTGTTTTGTTACAATTATTTTATTTCTTGCAATATTCGTCTGACAGAATTAATTAGTAAGTTTTTTGATGCTTATTAATTTGGAAACTATAGTTTTGAGAGAAGAAAACTTTATAATCTGGAGTGGATTATCAAATGAGAGTAGCTTTTTTAATAAATCTTATATGAATTTAGTTACTATACTTGAGAAAGTCTGAATATTTCTACCATTCTTAATCAGTAAGATATTGTTCCTTTGAAACATTTCTGGTAAGCTATCAGAAGAGTTTTCTTTTTTTAGTCTTTTATGTGATAATTTTGAATTTTCAAAAAACCTCTTAACATTGTTAAAAGATTTATATCATATAATAAGTTTAGATCTACTACAGAGAGAGCAATATCTTTCTGATTATGATCTTGATCAAAAGACGCTGTGTATGAGATATTTGTAATTACAAATATTTCGCAAGTTAAATCTAAGAAAGCAGAACTATTACTTTCATCAATGATTTGACTTCCTAACCCATCTAATACCTCAACATTATTAATAGTTTCTGATACATAATCAGTATTAGGGATACTATCCTGGTTAGCTAATTTATGTTAGAATTTCTTCTCCTTATTGCATTATCTAATATCTTCACTAATACTTTTCTTTTACGTCTCATTCAAGAAATTATCCATCTCTTTCTCCTGTGATAATTTTTCATAATAAACTGCATCTGAATTAAAGTTAGATGAGTTATTATTAGGAGTATTATCATTAGAGGTATTATCATTAAGAGTATTATCATTTAACATCTGTCTCTATTCTACTTTTATAACACAATCTCTAAGCTTAGCATTCTCTTTAGTATTATTTTTCTCTAACTATTCAATTCTGATCTTAAGTTTAGCATTTTTAGCATTATATCTCGTTCTTTTTTCTTCAATCATTCTTAGAATCTCAGTAATCATACACTTAAATTCAGTTCTTTCAGTATTGAACTTTAAGATCTTTTTTCTAAGATCAGGTATTTTAGCATTCTTAGCTTCAAATTCAATAATATGCTGTTTTAATACTTCAAGCTTGAACGACATGATCTATATTGTCAATAGAAGAAATTACAACTCCAAATATCACGTAAGATTTGACAATTAATAATGATCACACATTAGGTGATATCACTGCTGCACTAAATAGTGATCAACAATAATTTCTGTTTCTTCTGTTTTTTCTGTATTTTTTATACAGCTTGTTTATTCTGTTTACTCTATTTCGCCTGTAATTTCTTTAACATTTGTAATTTATTTTATTTCTTTTTATTATTTTTATAGTTTGTATTATTTTTATTATTTTATTATTATTTTAAGTATATTTTTATTGAAACATATGTCTATATTTAATTAATTTATAGCATAACAAATAGTTAGCCATAGCAAATTCATTTTGTATAAATAGAATAACTTTTTGCTTAAGTTGTAAATTAACTCATCTATAAGTTTCATATAAGTTTCAAGTTATAAATAAAAGAATCAATTTAAATCTATATATAATCTACTTTTTTCTTTAACGTTGTCCTTCATCTAGGATTTGTTGTAATACCTTACACTAACTTGCTATTAAGTTCGTCATTATAAGTTTGACTAACATAGTTTAAATTTTAAGATACAATAAATTGCTAAGTTGATTCAGGTATAACAGATGTTTGTAAGACTTAAAGAAAATCCTAAGGTCAGAAATTCCAACATGTAGAATTAACTACCATAGCTTTTTAACTTAAACATTAAGATAAACGAAAATGAATCTAATGACAATTTGGTGATTTTTGCCAGAAAATAAAATCTTTGAGAAAAGTTAAGAATTGTGAATTTACACAAACTTAGACAAGAGAATTAAGTACATACTCTCAGTTACAGTTTAGAAATTGATTCAAAAGAACTTTTTGAAAGAGATTTATTTTGTCTGATTTATTATTCTCTTTACATCCCTAAACCTGAAAATTTTGAAAATTTGTAGAATTGATATCATTTCCAATTCAAAGCATTTGAATATACCAGTAGTATATTTGACCTTTTTATTATTATTAGTCAAATCATTTCTGAGTTTAATTCACATCCAAACAATTATAATCTTTTTAAAACCCCTTGTTGCTCAAATTAATATTTTAATTTAAAGCTATAAATATAATTCAACTATAACTGAATTACCTTCAATCACTCCATTAATTTCAGTATTTATAAATACTGATTATTTTATAAATAATCTTTCACCATTTGCGATTTGAGCACAAGCTTTGAATAAATCTAATGACTATATATTACAAGAGAAATTAAACATAACTCCTCTAAAGAAAGACACCTTTAGTCAAAAAATGGATAACTCACAATCCTGACAAACACATTAACTTAGAGACGAAAAGTCTTACATTTCCACTAGGCAATCTAATCAAGGAAGAATATTTTGACTACCTTTGCAAGTATAGAAAGAACTCCCAGAATATTATGTGAGGTTTAATAAGAAATATATAGGTTTAACTTTAGATATAACATTGGTTTAATAATAATTAAATAAACAATTATTATTGTATATTAAATATTTAATTTGTCAGCTTTACTTAACTTGAATTGTTCTAAGACAAAGCTAAATGAATAGACTTAACTTGATTTAATAGTCAAGCTAACTTATGTGAAGCATTAATTACTATAACTAAGAAGTATACTTTCATTTTATCTCGAATTTCCTAAATCATATATATAATACTAATTAATAAAGTTAATTTGTAAAAATAAATATGAATTTCAAATTGTTATAACTGATCCTATATATTTTTTTTTAAATCGGATATATGTAGATCTCGTGATAAGGAGTATTATGAAAAACCTTAAAACACCGATGTAAATCGTTAAATCGGAAATCTTATATTACATAAATAAGAAATTTAATTTTCCGAAATTTGAGTTTTTATATCTAAATTCGTACCTTCCGAGAAATAATTTTGTAAACTTTTTATTGCAATGTTTGAACCCGGAAACAAAATAGAACCTAAAGAAGTATGTAGTAATAAGGTCGGTACTTTATAACTTTTTATTGAATACTCCAAAAACAAGGTTATTAGTTATTTAAAATTCGTTAAAAAAAATTTATGGTTTTTTTTTTTCAAGTGTTTACAATTTGTTCACGAAAAAAGTTATCATAATATTACCATTAGCCTCTCTTTTTTCTTTATACTTTCCCCATCTACCAAAATATCTTTTTTTTTTTATCTTGTGCATTTAAATCAAACAGGATAATGAAAACCAAACCGAAACTATTGAAGAAGACGACAACGATTTATTTGATGATATATCCTTTTCGCTTCCTCGTGGTCATGTTCCTCAATCATATCTAGATTTATCAAGTACAGAGATTGCAAGTATGGATGAACATTTACCTGAAAGTAATATAGGATATAAATTATTATTGAAAATGGGTTGGAAAGTTGGTCAGGGACTTGGAAGTTTACAACAAGGTTTATTATTATTTATTTTTTCTTTTTTGCTTTTTTTTTATTTCTTTTTTTAATATTAAACCAATTTGTTATGTCTAATTGATCATTAATTTAATTAATAGGCAGAAAAGAACCTATTCGAATAGATATTAAATCTGATAGTTTAGGTGTAGGTAAACTCGAAGAAGAAAATTATTATCATTCTACTAGTACAGCAAGACGTAAAGCTTTAGATAGTGAAAAAATTGCAGAGGAGACTGAAGAAGAACGCGTTCAAAGACAAGCAAGTTCATGTTTATTTAAAAAGAAAAAATATTTTTTTTTTTTCACTTATCATTCTTTTTACTTTATTATAGAATAAAGTTCAAAAACAAGAATCGATTAAAAAAGAATTAGAAACTATTAATGCGGCATTTTATTGTGCGTTATGTGATAAACAATATACAAAAATCTCGGAGTATGAAACCCATTTGAGCTCATATGATCATAATCATCGCAAGGTAAAAAAAAGAATTCAAAAGTTTTCTTTGAGAGCAACATATGTTGACAATCATAATATTGTGTAAATATAGAGATTCAAGGAAATGAAAGAAAGTAATCGTCCCACAGCTAAATTGGATAGAAAACGTGAAAAGGAACGTAAAAGAGAAGAAAAAGAATTGGCAAGAATGCAACAAGCTGCACTTCAAAGAGCGGGTAGCAAACAATCTTTTACTAACGATATTCTTAATAATAGTTCATCAAGTAAATCATCAATTAACGATAGCACAACTAAAACGAATTTAAGTGATAGTTTGGTAGCCTCAACTACAATTAGTAAA